CGCCAAAACCGCAAAAAAACGTGATTTCACGTCAAAACCGCAAAAACGTGATTTCCCGTCAAAACCGTAAAATGTGTTTTCCCGCCAAAACCGCAAAAAATGAATTTCCGGCCATACTGGAAAAACTAGTTTCTAGGAAACAAAAATCTGCATAATCTCTTTAGAACAAATAAAATAGTAACTTGGGTATCCATGGGTTAACCTATATCCAACTGGGTTCTTTTTTTGGGTTTTAAATTAATCTTGATGATTGTGGGTTTTCGTGGGTAGGATATAAACTGGGTTGGGTTATTTTACCCATTTTAACATCCCTAGATAATATAATAGACATATGCCAATATCATGATTCAAGAACACTTTAAAAAGTTTTACAATGAAGTTGACATTTTTTATTCATCTCGGCAGAATGTTCCAACTTTTTATTAGGTTCTATTCTGAAGATCTGTATTCATTTAATACTATTTTAAATGATTTATGATTAAATCATTTTAATTATTAGATTACTATATGTTAACTAACAGACAATAGCTGTAATTAAAACTACAAACGCAATACATATACATGGAACATGCATATAATAAAATTTGTTTCACATCTAAAATGTGCATCAACATATCACTGTTGTTTTATCCTAAAGAAGTACTAAAACCTAAGAAAATATTTGAAAAGATGTAGGGTAGAAAGATAGGACTATAATTTGGATTTTGTCTCCCATTATATCAATCGTATCCATATAATTATTTATTTTGTTTTTTACAGATGGGATGTGAACCTAGTCGAAAGACTTCCGGAATACATGAAAATGTGTTTTCTACTTCTATACAATGAGATCAATCAAATCGGTTACGATGTTCTCAGAGACAAAGGCCGTAACATCATCCCTCATCTGAAACAAGTTGTAAGTATTTATCAAAAAAGATTGTAATTTTTTTATATATTTAATTTATAAATCATTTAATTAGGTTGTGATTGGTAATTATAGGAGTGAAATGGAGTAAATATAAAAATGGAAATGAGAGAAAAGTGTAAAAGGTGGAAAAAGACAAAAAAAATAGTACTCAACTTAATATATTTGACCTTCAAATCCAAAAGTGAAGTTCAGAGTACCTTTTTATTTTATCAACAGTGTCTAAAGTAAAAGTAAGAGAATAACTTCTTATATGATCGGTAAATTTTCAGCTGAATTCAGATTTTCCTACAAAACATTTACTCTACCATGAGCCTTTCTCAAAGAAAAATACATTTACTCTACCATGTCAATACCGTTGCACCCTTAATAAAATTGATGTTATTTTGAAAACTTTATTTTGATTTTCCTAGTGGACTAATCTACTCAAAGCGTTCCTAACCGAGGCAAAGTGGTACAAGACAGGACACAAACCAAGTTTTAACGAATACATGCAAAATGGTTTTATCTCGAGTTCTGTCCCAACGATATTGCTCCACCTTTTCTCCATCCTCTGCGACCACATCTCCGACCAAAATCTAACTGATATCTCCAAGAACCAACACTCTATAGTCCGGAGCTCCGCCAATATTCTCCGTCTCGCCAATGATCTTGCCACCTCAGCGGTATGCATATTCCTTGTTAATTTCTCCTAACAAAAAATAAGTGATGTTTTATTCATGTTTGATTTAGCCAATTACAATGACGTCACATAAAACAGTATGTTAAACGATGTAACATAATATTTGTTAATAAGGCATAAAATATGCGTGTTATATTTTTGAAAACAGCATAACTTATTAACGATATTGACATGTCTTTTTGAAAATATGAGGATAGGATCTGGCTATCTAGTCAATATACCATATAATAGCACCAAAGACAATAATGACTACTATATTTTTATTAGAAACGAGAAAAAAAAAGTTCTGTAACTTTATAACTTACCACTAGATAGCATGATTAAGTACTAAGAACCAGTAATTCTTCGACCAAATAACTAAATTCTAATATGTTTCATAAATATATCACTGAATGAAAAGTACTAAATTTTCATGATTACAGGAAGAGATGGCAAGAGGAGATTCCCCAAAGTCAGTCCAATGCTACATGTACGAAACAGGAGCCAATGAGGATGAGGCACGCAAACAGATGCAATGTATGATCAGCGACTCATGGGACGTCATAAATTCTGCGGCACACACTTCTTCTCTTCCCAGTGGTTTCGTGGCAGCTGCCGCAAATCTTAACCGCGTGGTACAATGTATATACCAGCACGGTGATGGCCACGGCTGTCCCGTGAAAGCCAAGACCGTTGATCACATCAAGTCCGTTCTCTTCAATCCCGTTCCATTTTAGTTGTAAGATTCTGTATTTTACCGCATTAAGATGTATTTTTCATGGGAAAAATAATTGGTACACGTTGACGCACATTAGAAATGTTACCCTATGCAAATAAAGTTTAGAACAAAAAAAAATAGTTTACAACAAAGCGCTCAATTTTGAGAAAAACTATAAATTTTCAACCAAAAATTGTTAAAAAAAAAGTTGAACCATCAGCAAAGGTACTTCTTGCACATGCTTAGAGAGGACACTGATGCCTAATTTTATATCCTCATTTCTCACAAATGTGTGTATTAATATATTATATCTTTCGCTATTATCAGCTTGTTATTTCTTAATCTTGATTCGTTTTTAGAAACAACCTATAAATTTAAGTCATTAATTTAGATTTTAACATTCAAATGAACAGTAAAATAAATAAACAATAATGAATAAATTGAATATATATGAAATAAGCTATCCAAAATAATATATACCGAATAAGTAAAGATATTTCCAAGAGTGAATATGATTTTTAAGTGAACAAATTTTTATACCAAGTGATGGTTATGAGATGAATGAATTGTTTAAAATAATACTTAAATAAAGTTTTTTTTTTTGGCAAATATGTAGATATTATTAAAATAAAAAATAAAAATTATTAATATAAACAAATTGAGATTTTTTTTCTTCATTTTTGATCCACAGTTTTGGTGAAGAATACATTTGCTCTAGATTTTATTTACAGAAACTAATTTGGAAGAATGAATAGAAAAAAATGTTTGTATATTAAATTTAAATTATTCCTAAATGGTGTAAGTCACGAGAAACATCATAGTTCTTATCCTATTTCTTCCAAATGTTTTATTAATTGAAGCTTAATACAACTAAACGTATCTATTGTATAACTAGAATAGAATGTGCCTGCATATCCAAGATCTCCTAAAATGACTAAGAAGTCATACAAAATCACGTTACGAAAATCATTTAAGGACACTCAGTTTAATAAAAAAAACAAATTATTTGATTAAAATTAAAGAATTTGTGGTATAGTTTACAATTATATTTAACAAAAATACTTTTAAAAGAAATTTTGAAACTTCGGAACCTCACAAAAATAAATATATAGAACACTAACATCATAGCACAGCATTTATCTTGATCCAACTCATAGCAGCTGGTGGTGTTAAGCTACCCGTCTAATAAGCAATCATATTAATGATTTTCTAGTGATCGGATTGGGATGAGTTAATTCAAAATCAAGTTATCAATCACCATCACCACCGAAATATAGTAGTTTTGCAATCAAAATTAGTTTTAGTAAGAGCCTAGAATTTACATAATGTAAATAGATGTTTGATATGTATTTGAAAGGATAAAACCAACAATGTTTAATAAAGATTACACAGAATCTAAGCTCCTGATCGCAAACAGTTGGTGTAGGTCCACAAAGATTAGCCAAGCTCTCAATAAATCGTTCTTGAGCTAGAAGAGAAAACACAAAAAAGCTAATTTACTGTTTTCCCTATGTTGACATGTCAAGCTAATTTTGTTGGTATTCTTAATTATTGAAACAGAATTTTTGCAGATAAAAACTCGAGAATCTCGTAATGAGAATCCCCCTCAAATCTTATGGAAGTGTTTTTGTCCATATCTATTACCATCTTGCTATCATGGGGAATGGACTGTTCGGGGTCTAAAGATGCAGTGGGATTTGTTTTGACGAGTGGTGCGGATTGGATGTCAACGTCACAATTAAAGGTGACTATCTCTCTGCTGCCCGGCCATGTTGTGAAGGCTACACTGACGCATTCAAACACCATCCTAAGTTCACTTTCATCTTCTTTTGAAGACCTATTCTTTTTATCTTATGTTGTTGTAGTTTATGCTTTCAATCAATCAAAGATGATGGATAATTCGCTCATTCATTTGTAATCAAGCAAGTTGAAGTTAATGAAGAACTTGTGTTAAAAAAAAGGAGAACAAATGGTAAAGAATACATGTTATCGTAAGAGTAATCTGGCTGTAACTTTATGAAACTTGGGATTTCCTCTCTTTCTCTTTTGTCGTTTTATAGCTGTTAGGAAGAGTATCTAGCAGTGAGTATCTGGAGTGAAAAGGAATTACAACATCTACTACCAAAACAACCGTTGCTGCACTATCGACGAGAGAACTCTTAAGATGATCAGTCATGAACTATCAAATAGCCATATTTTCTATACACATGTCAACCTTTTCTTTTTTAATTTGTTATTTTATTGGATACATATTCACTTTCATCATCCTAGTAAAGTAGTAACGACGAGGTGGTCTTGAGTCACCTTGGGCTCTTGTTTTCTTGCAGCTACATATGTGAATAAACGGCCTTTTCCCATAATATTTCTTGATTTGTTTATCCCATCCCAATCATACTTTTTATTATAAAAAAAAAACTTTCTTCTACCGGCTTATTTATTTTTGCATTTGACCCTGTATGTTATGTTATTAAAATACCAACACACATAAAAAGCCTTGGCTTACATATTTGTTTTCAACAAAAACAAAAACAAAAAGTATGGAAACAGATATTACTTTACGCGTAACACACACGTCAGCTCACACTAGAAAGTGGAAAGTATAAACATGATTTGATCCGACTTTGATTATTTCTAAAATTAGACTTAATTAAAGGTTAAATATAGACATGTCAATCTATTTATACGAAGGAGAGTATATACATAAAACATTACCGTTATCATCCATTTCTCTCCCTCTGGATCGAGACAAAAAAAAATCTCCGATCCACTCTTCTCTCCGATCACCGTAAAGATCAAGGTACCACGTTCCATACTACTAACTCGAATTAGGGTTTTTTTTTCATGCAGTTAATGGAATCTCAAATCTATTCTTTTACTTTTTGGATCATCAGGTTTATTTGATCTATTTTGAAACTTAGGGCTTGTGAGTTTGATTCGGAAGGGCATCTGAGGATGGGGTGTTGTTTGTTGCGTATAGAATAAGAAACAAGTTAGGGTGAGATTTGATTTGTGTAGATGGTGACGATGAAGAGCTCTTTGATGAAGGAATTGGTTAGAGGTTTCAGGAGGCAAAGGATCAGATGGAGAAACGCGTTTCTTGTCGGTTCTATTATGACCACTATTGTTATTCTTCTTCACACACCCACGTTTTCTATCTTCTCTGATGATGAAGAAACTGACTCTTCTTCTTCACCTATTTACTTGAACGGTTCTCTTCATTTGAATATCCAAATTGTTAGAGAAGCAAAGGTTGAAACCTTTTCTTCTCTTACAACAACTCCTGTAGTGAAAATGAATACTTCCTCCGAGTTCAAACGTGTAGTTGAAGAAACCGAAACCGTTATTCAAATAAAAAGGCGAAAAAGGAAGAGAAGAAAGAAGATAAAAGACGATCTCATTCTCACTGATCCTCCACCAGCACCACGACATGTTCTTTCCTCCTCAGAGGTTAGTAATATTAAATATTTATTGGAAAATTTTCTCAAAAAGTTGGAAGACTCATGTGGAAGTTTTCTTAACTGAGTGACTTTCACATAACTATTAGAATGTGTCCGGGAATAATATGTTCCTTGGGCAAATATATAAGGGTATGGATATTCTTTCACTCTTGCGTTAGCTTTTGGGTGTGAGTTATGCTCATGACTAATAAGGTATCAGAGCTCATGGTTTGGTTCAGTATTATGATTTCCCACATAAACAGTTTTCTATCTATGTAGCATGTAAAAGTGACCTATACGCTGTTGTATTCTCAAGATATTGGGTTTGGGGTGTTTCCCTATGAACAATTTCCCACCCATATCTCGAGAGGAACTATTAGAATGTGTCCCATATTGTGAATAATATGTTCCTTGGACAAATATATAAGTGTATGGATAATCCTCCACTCTTAAACTAACTTTTGGATGTGAGTTAGGCCTATTATTAATAATAACTCTCTCAACTTTTTAGATATATTACCCAATTAAGTAGTAATATAATTGAGAAAAACTGATGAAATTTCTCTTTGTTTTTGTCTTAACTCACTTCAATGAAATTAAGCAGAGACGAGCTCTATCATTGCCACCAAAGGAAGCTTTAGCTTTTGCAAAATTAGAGATTCAACGAGCCCCAGAAGTCGTGAATGACACCGAACTCTTTGCTCCCGTGTTTCGTAATCTCTCCATTTTCAAAAGGTATATTTATATATATACAATATTAAAAAGACACAAGTGCTTTTAAATCCAAAGTTTAATACAAGTTAATGTGTATCACCTTGTTTTAGGAGTTATGAGCTTATGGAACTTATTTTAAAGGTTTACATATATCCCGACGGAGAGAAACCCATATTCCACCAACCACATTTAAATGGTATATATGCTTCAGAAGGTTGGTTCATGAAGCTAATGGAGTCAAACACACAGTTTGTCACAAAGAACCCTGAGAAGGCTCACTTGTTCTACATGCCATACAGTGTGAAACAGCTTCAACATGCTATCTTTGTTCCTGGATCACATAACATCAAACCTTTATCGATCTTTCTTAGAGACTATGTCAACATGCTCTCCATCAAATACCCTTTCTGGAACCGCACTCACGGATCCGATCATTTCCTAGTCGCTTGTCACGATTGGGTATTATTTAATATGTTTTATATATCAAAATAACAATCATTTAATAATATTTTCTAACGTTATCATTGTGTAGGGTCCTTACACGGTGAGTGAGCACCCGGAGCTAAGAAGAAACACTATTAAAGCCCTATGTAACGCAGATTTATCAGATGGAATCTTCGTTCCCGGGAGAGACATTTCTCTCCCGGAAACTTCCATAAGAAACGCTGGGAGACCGCTGCGTAACATAGGAAACGGCAACAGAGTTTCTCAACGTCCTATCCTCGCTTTCTTTGCTGGAAACCTACACGGTCGTGTCCGTCCACAGCTTCTAAAACACTGGAGAAACAAAGAAGACGACATGAAAATCTACGGTCCGCTTCCACACAACGTAGCTCGTAAAATGAGTTACGTGCAACACATGAAGTCAAGCAAATACTGTCTATGTCCAATGGGCTACGAAGTGAACAGTCCAAGAATCGTTGAGGCTATATACTACGAGTGTGTACCCGTAATCATCGCTGATAACTTCGTATTGCCGTTCAGCGAAGTGCTTGATTGGTCTGCGTTCTCGGTGGTTGTGCCGGAGAAGGATATTCCACGGCTTAAGGAGATACTGTTGGAGATTCCGATGAGGAGATATCTGAAGATGCAGAGCAACGTGAAGTTGGTTCAGAAACATTTCTTGTGGAGCACGAAACCTAGGAGGTACGATGTGTTTCATATGATACTTCACTCTATTTGGTTTAACTTTCTCCATCAGAACCAAACTTCTTCTGATCGTGTTCCTGGTTCCTGACATCATCCTCAATTATGTCATGTGTCTGTATATATATTACAAAGAAAGATCCATTTATTTAAGGGCTCGTTAAGGCCCTTCTTGAATGTTAATGGGTTTACTAGATGGTTCGTCTATTCTACTAGATCTGTTTTCCAGAATTTATGGTCGAAGGAGTGGAAGGGGTACCTTGTTTAAGGCCAGGGTCGACCCTGGGCAATGCCTAGTGAAACATTTGTTTCAGACCCCCAAAATTTTTGAAGAAAATTACTATGAGTATAGGCCTCCAAAAAAACTTTTAGGCCTCCAAAATATTTTTTACATAGAAATCGCCACATGCCCCCAAAATCTCAGGGCCGGCCCTGTTTAAGGCTCCATCGATTGTAAGGTCATCCACGATTCAAACACTAAACCAACCACAAAGTGAATGATCTATTAACAGTAAATCAACACAAATATATGATTGTTTGAAGAAAAATGATGAAATGTATATAAATTATTTGACTTATGAAAATGTTCATAAATAAATGAAGCCATTTCTGCTGACTGCTGCAAAAGTTAATAAATAAATAATTGAGGTCGTTTATATGCGGGCTACTATCTATTATATAAAGTAATGTATCCCTCTCTCTAAGACCCGCCACGTCGGATGCCACATCATTAAGTCCACGTGTACATCTTTTCTTTCTGAGTCGTTTATTTTCGTGTCAATAACTCATTCGTCTCGAGCCAAAACGCGGAGTCCCCGTGACCTAATTCATTATATGCTTTCGAGAGAGTCGACTACCCTCTTCGTGCGATGACGAACCTTGCCCTTCTCCTGAGAATCTCTAATCGCTTGCGTTATTTCTTCATCTCCTTGATCTCCCATTACTTCGACATCAATGCTCTGTTCTCGCTATCTGTATAAATATTTGTAATCCTTCATCTCCTTGAGGCTTGAGCAGGACGGCAAACTCGTCTCTCCCCTTTCTGGCTTGAAGGTTTGGTGTTCAAGCAACTTACTGATTATCATTGTGTTCAGCCATCGAATTTTGTTTTCATTAACAGTGAGTTTCCATTATTGATTTGGTGATGGAGCGCAAGGAGATAATAATTTAGTTCTTATGTTGGTTTGAGATTATCGCAGACAAGGATTCTGATGTCTTCAAGGTTAAGAATAAAAAACTCTCTAACAGTAAGGATTGATCTCTGTGATTTCCTTGCTCACTCAGCTTATGGCTTTGAAAGAGTTGAAGTTCATTGATTTGATTTCTGGGTTGTTTTTAGTTTTGTTTATGTTTCTTTTCGGTGTTGGTCCATTGTGATTGAAGAAACAATTATGTTCTTCACACTTTAGAGTCTGAACCGTGGCACTTGAATCTTCTTATTGCTGATTAAAAATCACACCTTTAAACTAGAGACAGGACTGAAAACAGGTGCTTTCAGTTATATTCTTAACAACACTTTTTCATAGTATTGGTTTGAAATCCCGGAACGTTTTGGCTACAATCATACACTACTACTGTGATCAGAGTTTTTATATTTTATTATCTTTTCCTGTCATATCTAAAGACAGTTATTTTTCCTTGTGTTGGTTTTTTTCTGTCTGATTCCATCTCTAAAAGCTGACAAATTGCTCGACTACAAGCTTCAAAACACCCTAAAGTTAGCCACAACACCAAGTTGTTAAGGTATCTGCTTTTTTTTTGTAATTTTCAACATGTATAAGGAATTTGCATTGCTATATTGCATATGGGTTATGCATTATGAAACTATCATCTATGTTAGTCCAAGTGATTTAATTTGTTTAGTAGTCTAACGTTATATCCATATCTCAGTGATGGGCATTGGTCCATTAATATAGTTGTGATACCTAAGAAGATGAGGTAGCTATACATTCATTGCGATTTCAAGATGCTATTGACTGTTTTGTAAATCAGATATGCTGATTTTCTGTTACTTATGGAACATATAATTTCATTTCCAAGCTCTGTCCAGTTGTCGGACAACCTTAGTGATGCGGGATCCTCTACCATCTCTCCACTGCCGCTTTGCTCTTAGGGGAAATTCCTTATAATTCAGCCCTCTTGGATCGAGCAGATTGCTTCTCGGTGGTTGCTAATGCGCCGCAGCAAAATCGAAACGTCTCCGGTGAGACTACTACTACGAGCTCAGTACCTTCTAACTCCAACTCTAATCTGGATAGAGTCAAAACCAAGCCTGGTGAGACAGATTCATCTCAGCGTTTGGTTTCTGATCGTAGCACAAGTAAGCTTGAAACTCGGCGTACCCTTATAGATGGAGTTCAGATATGAATAAATCATCTTTGTTTTTTGCTCTCAGGGGGAACATGTGGTGTGGGAAGTGATGTTTATGAGTTCTTTGGAATCTATTGCAAACTTCTACCTGTCCGGATGTGCAGATTATATATCACCGTCATAGGTCCTGTTCGTTTGGTTGCCGCGGGTTTCAGCGTCAGCGTCGGCGTCGGCGTCGGCGTCGGCGTCAGCGTCAATGAAAATAGTTGTTGTTCGTTTTGCAGACGCCGACGCCGACGCCGACGCTGACGCTGCCGCAGATTGTTGTTCGTTTAAAAGACGCTGAAAGTTGACGCTGACGCCGACGCCGACGCCGACGTTGATATGTTGGATTGTTCGTTTGATAGACGCTGTGTCTATTTCATTTTTTCATATTTTATGTTAAAAAAATTGTAAAATTGTATTAAAAAAATAAAATATAGTTCAAATATATTTACATCCATTAAAATATTATGTTTACTTGGTAATGAATTTTTGGTCAATTATACAAATGTTACAACATTTTTTCATAAATCATAAGCTAAATTAGAAAAAAATAATGCTTCAAAATATTTATCAGAAACAAAAGCTAATATTATATCAAATTGGTTGATAAAAAAAAACACATCAAGTCTTAAATAAATATCAAATTCAAATGATAATCAAAGTTATAAGCAAAAAAAAAACTAAATCATTAACTAAAACATTTAATATGGTAAACGGCCTCTACCATATTCATTTGTGATGTTATCACGCAAAGCTTCCATCGCTCTATCACCTTTCGGCTCATATATAATATGGCCACCACTACCACCACCACCATCATCATCATCATCATCATCATCATCATCACCTTCTTCTTCATCACCATCAGCTTCTTCTCCTCCTTCTCCATCATCTCCACTTTGCCAATGTACAAAATCATGATCTTCCCGATGTGAATCACGTATGAAGTTGTGTAGCGCCATCGTCGCTGTCACCAACTTAATCCACTTAACCAGGCCATACTTTGGATGCTTACGATCCAAAATCCTCCATTTTGCTTTCCATACTCCAAATGTCCTCTCAATCACTGATCGCAGACCTGAATGCTTTCGGTNCTCGCGCAATGAGTCAAGACCTTTGTATCATGTGCTCTACCAGGTACACCGACATATGCATATATGAACTTCATATCGAAGTTACATATAGCAAGAACATTCATTGTAGGCTCTTGCTTCCTGCCTCTGTATGCTTCTGCGGTTTGACTTGGAGGGCGAACCGGGACATGGGTTCCATCAAGTGCTCCGATACAATCTCGGAAATGAGGCCAATACCGATCATCATTCCTCAAAACAGGACTTACTTTTCCAAACTCGCCTTCCTGTGGTCTTAATGTATCTGCTGCAAACTTGAGAATAGCACTCAAAACCTCATCAAGCTTCCTTTGTACTGTATCCAATGATCTTTGATACCCTGCAGCAATAACCCTCTTAGTCTTATCTTGACTAACAGTCTCGAGAAACATTGCAACAGATTCCTCAAGGTAGACATGGTGAGATTCTTTCAATCCATATCGCTGAGCTAGCATCTTGCACAAAGCTTCAAAAGTTCTTTGATTCATTCGAAGAATATCATAACATTGCCGATCAGATTCATACATAAGTTGTTGAACA